ATCGGTTTGAGAGAGAGAGAGAGGGCGCGTTAGGGGCAATGACCGGGAGGGGAGAGTTAGCTAGCCAGTATGACTGTGTCCTTTAGTCCGGCTACATCGTAATCGACGAGTTAGAGGCAACAACGAATCCTTTTGTTTCCGAGTGAGATCCAGGGAGCTGTACATATTGTTAGCGAGTTGTGAGGTGGGAGTACACACTGCGCAACGTGTGCATAAACGACCGACAACAACAATCGGTGCGGTGGGACGAGTGCACACACTGCACAACGTGTGTGACACCGTCACCGGTAATAACAACTGTGAGTGGAGTGCCGAGTGCGCGCATTGTGGAACGTGTGCGACCTCGGCAGCAGCGAGCTCAACCTCTGCAACTACTGCAGCCACGCAACAACAACAGCGGAGCAGCAGCCGCAGAGGCAGTTCATCAGCAACGGGTTTAATCGGATACAGTTGGCCACCGTATCCCCGTCAACTGAGCGGTAGGTGCACAGCACTTTTGTTGAGTTGTATTTAGCGTGCGATCCCGCGTAGCGCGCGCGGTAAGTTTATTGATAGCGAGCGTGCGAATAGTCCGCGACGTCCGCGAGATTTACTCTCTCTCTCTCTCCCCGGTTGAATTGTTATATCGAAACAGCGTGCGAAAGTCTCTCGGCAAATCCCTCCCTTATATACATTTTGAGTTAATAAATCGGTTAGAGATCAATACGAGACTCTTTATTTTGTCTTCCCTTTGTTCGATATCGGTGTTGTTGTTTACGTTTGATTCGAACGCGCCGGTAGTACAGCATGGATCACGTAAGCAACGAGAGAAGCTGCCCGCCAACCGAGTTGTCAGCAGTGGCCGACGGAGCGCTGTAAAGCAGGCATACCAGCGCCCCTGGCGGAGAGATCGCGAACCCAGGTTAGATCGGTAAGTGAGCAAGTGTGTTAGGAGCACACAGTTAACAGTGCACCGTCTGGCCGTATTGAGGATTATTATTACCCGAGGTTTGCGGCTAGGAGGCAGCCTGTTACAATGTATAAAATTAACGTTTTCGTTCTATATACAACTTAATGTTTACATAAATTATTGATTATATATTTATTAATAACAGTTATTATTAAACTGTTATTAATGAAACCAATTCTTACTCAAGTTCTTCAGATATTCATTTTGAATATGGTGTATTCACATTTTTCTAATAATTAATATTTATAGTGTAATAAACAAATTAACTTTGTATATTAAAATTCCTTATTATTTAATAATTAAACATAATTCGTATTATTATATTCTAAATCTATGTACTAAAATCTATATATGAAATGCTTTGTTACATCAAAATTACGTCTAATTAACATATTTTATTAAAAAAACAAAACTTTTATATATACAGTCGAACCCCCGGCACTTCTCGTTGCGGCACTTCTTGCGCCCCCGCACTTCTCGCTGGCTGCGCCGCGGTACTTCTCAAGGGGCAGGGCCGTACACTGCCCCTTGCGTACCAGGGGGTCTCTCTTTCTCTTACGGCCTTATTGGAAGGCTTATTCTTCCCTCTTTGTAATTTCAATAGATTTCCGAATATGTATGGATAATCCGACTTCAAACTTTTAGTTTTATGGATACACATACATAATCCGACTTTAAACTTTTAGTTTTATGGATGCCGATAATCCGATTTTGAACTTATGAACCCCTTTATTATGATTTTACACTAACAAATTAGAATCTGACAAAAAAATACGCGATAGAGAATGTCTTAGATTTTCTTGTCAAACCAATTGATGCTTTTAATTTTTTTGAAGAAAAAAAAATTTTCCGATTTATTTTTATAATAAACAAAATTTTTAGCGATTTATTTTTATAATAAAAAGTAACAAAAATATAAAAAAATATGGTATTAAAAAAAAGAAGTATTTCGTTCGTTCATGTTTTACAAAGAAATTAAATAACTAATTATTGCCTATACATATGTAGAAATCATAAATAAAATTTATTTGCGTTCAATTTTTTAAATTATCAAAAAAAAGTTGACTATCATATTAATTATACTTTGTTGTTAACGTATGAATTTTTTTTAATATAAGGCGCAGCTGCTTATTTTGAATTAACTATTTTTGAGTGCCCCAAAGGGCCCACGCGGCAAGCTACAGTATGCCCATACCTGGCCGTACGCTCTGATTGGCTGCCGCTCACCGAGAAGTGCCGGGGCGAGCTACTCCCGAGAGCGAGAAGTGCCGAGGGTTCGACTGTATATCTATAAATCTGTGACGTCACGCTCCTTACATGGTCATGAAATTAGACTCTTGTACTAAGACAATCGAATAATAGGTGAGGTGGTGCCGTTTAATATACTAATTGATGTAAACAGGTAGATGAGTTTAACAGGTTGCAGTGATTCAGTGACATAATAAACTAGCTCATAGATAGGACTGATGCAACCACGAAAACGAACGCTCGCGATAGACAAAATACTTTCTATAGTATTTTGTCGCGCAATAAAAGGGAGATGCACTTACCTTGCCGTGCAATTACGGTGAGCAGCCGTAATTGTTTAATCTGTCAAATCAACTATTGGTGCTCCTCAGGTAAATCAGCTGCGCTGCCTCGTTCACAAATCTGCTGCTGCTTTAGATGCTGCTGCTGTTATGTTGTTTCCTCGCTACACTCGCACGTATTGAAAATCCCAGAAAACTTTATAACAAACGGCGAAACACTGTGCAGAATAACTGGTGGTACTACATACTTTACAGCTGAGGCTTAACTGAATATTTCAACCCCCGCGTGCCCTCTCTCTCTCTCTCTTAGTCGTTCGAACTAACATTGCGAGTGTACCGAATCGCGAAAGGATCGATTAATCGAATCGAATACCGTTGCAATTCATAATGAAGTTGAAAAAACGGTTTATTCTAAGGTTAGACTATGTAATTTTGAATTATTGTTTCACAATATATCTCGTAACGATAATCTCATTAATTTATGTTAACCCATTAAGTCCTAAATGGACGATTTTTTCTACTGTATTAATTTTCTGAATATGAAATCGGTCTTCAAAAAAATCAGGAGACAATATTTCCGACGTAAAATGGTCTGGACTTTCGATCTACGATGATAGAATTTTGAAAATAATACATATTAATACATTTTGTAATGGGGTTAATACCGTTTATTTATTTTCAGCGCGCGATCGCATAGAAAAGCGCGCGTGATTACCTACACGTTCAAACACGAAAATCGGAGAGCAGAAGGGAACGGGTGTCAGTCAACCAACTATCTACTAGCATGAAATAAATACGTCGGAAATATTGTTAATATCACAAGCGAGAACGTTTATTGCCTCTCAATGCTACACTGTATTCGGCCCGCGTGTTTATGTTTACATGCCGCGCGCACGACAACAACATGCAGTGTCGGATCGCTCGTCGCTCATTGTTCGCAGAGTTATTACTTGCGCCTTTCTTGTCGAGTACGAGAGATTAGTTATAGATAATCGCGATCGCGAAATTAAGCTGGCCAGCTTACCTTATTAACTCTCGTACGGGTAAGTGAAATGAAGAAGGCTCGTACGGCACACGCTAGTCTTTCGGAAATGTTTATATGCGGGCGATGATACCTCTCGTTTACGGTTTCGCCCTCGATGGCGAAACTCTCCAATCTCGCACACTTGGACGCACACTTGCACGCACACTTTCCGGACGTAAGGCTATGTCACAGCTTCTCTCTTTTGTCTCTGCACTCCGGTAAACTCGGGGAAAACTCTGGTCCTTCTTAATAGCAGCTGGAGGTACCGATAACTAATCCTCGACTCTCTCAGGTGATATCGATAGCTAAGCCTCGACTGGTTCATTTTCATACGCACGCGTTCCGTCCCGTCGCGTGCCGAATTCCCTCGTCAGATTTTCCCCAACCGGTAGGTACTGCCCTCGCGGGCAGCCGCATGGTTGGGCCGTTAGCGCTAATAAGACGTTTACCGTCACAATTTATAATCGTTCATTTAACGAAAAATGCAAAATTTTGAGTGATAATTTTAAAATCTTTGTTTTCGATTTGAATCTCAACGTAGATCTTTATAAATAGCACATAAAAGGCGTCTTTGAATCATGCACTTTAAGTTATATGGGTAGGTTCTTTAAAATTCAACATGGCGGTCTAATATAGCGGTTCAAAGAAGGACATTTTTGCAATTTTCGTAATTTTTAGTAAAATAATATTTTTTTACCAATATTTATCAAACTTCATGTATAGGGTTTTTTTTTTGATCGCTAATTACGAATTTACAATCAGATTGTACAATCAAATTGGTGTACAAGAGTTTTTTGGTCGCTGATTAGAAATTAATTATCAGATTTTGAATAATCAAGACGGCGGATTCAATATGGCGGCCGAAAATCCCAACATTTTCTCAGTTTTTATAGAAATCGGTGCTCGTAGGTCTTTTAAATCATTGATTAACTATTTGTAGTCAAATTTTCAAAACTTTACATAGTTATATAAAAGATTCTATAAAATATCCTTTTGCAATTTTCTAACCTAAGAAGATGCATATATAGGGGTGTTTTGGGCTAATGTCACGTATACAGTTTTTAAAGTTTCGAATTGTCGGTTAAAAAATATGGTCAAAAGCTAGATTCATTAACATTTTCATACTTTTGAGTACCACAAATAAAAACTGACTAAAAACTAAAAAAATTTTTGGATTTTCGGCCTCTATATTGAATCTGCCATCTTGAATTTGAAAATCTAATTGTGAATTCGCGAAGTGTGTACGATGCTATGCTAATAAGCAATTCAATTATTCTTATTATTTATACTGTGATACTGGTTGACCTTGGTATAATTCTTCGATATTATCGATCACTTTTTTATAAAACATAAAACAATACGTTAATAAAACATTTTTCTGTTTACTATATCTTATTATCGTTTTATTCTAGGTATTCCAATATTACTGGTGATTAGAAGTTTTCAGTAATTATAACTTTTTAGTAAGAAATTTTCAATTAATTTGATACCTACTTACCTTACCTCCGTGTGTAACGGCAAATAAATATTCCATTATCTTATTTGTAAAAACGTAGTCACTGTTGGTCAGTAGAAATACTTTAGCTCCACTTTCTCTAATTCTTGTCAAAAACATTGGTAACCTTTCATCTCGTTTTATGTACAATGACAAATTTTCAATTGTCTTAGTTTTTAAGTCTCCATGCATATGAATCCAGTCTACAGCATTTCGTACGTCTTGGAATATACTTCTAAAACTCATAGTCAATTCGCTTTCTTTGACTCCGGTTCTTTCGCGAGAATATTGTCTTGAATTAGTAAAAAAATCAATCAAGCAGGCTAATAAATATGTTTCTGGTAGGTTGAATAATGTATTCAAAACATAAACTCGAGACTCGTCTAATTGTAAGAATTTGTTCGGGTACAACTCGTATACCTGGGAACTGAAAATTAAATAGAGTGTTTATATGTGAATATAATGATACAAATAAAACATTATAAATACTGATTTTATCTGTCTAATTTATTGGCAATATATTTTCTAAAATTTAAAATTATTTACACTAATAAATGGTTCAGAAAAGTCACATAAAATATTATTAAATTAAAGAGGTATCAGCTCACGCGTTATTGAATAAACAAATGATATGATATAGGAAAATTAATTTAATTTGTTAGAGAAATGTAAATTTATCGAGCATTTTAATAACGACTTAAAGGTGAGTAAAGGCATAACGTATCAGCGAATGTGCGGCCTCCCACAATTCAAGGATTGGAGTAGCATTACGCAGCTTAGTTACTCGTATAAGTATCCTTAAACTTTCTTAATGATTGAATTTAGAAAATAACATTACTGTCACATGAACGAAATCATTTGAAGAATTGTATCTAAACATTTATTTTATTACTTATGTACAGATATAGGAGAAAAGAAAATCCTTAAAATAATGCTATCTATTGTTAATATAAATTTGAAAAATTGAGGCCTGCAATGGCTCGGTCAGTAGGGCGACGGACTCGCACCCGGTAGGCCCGGGTTCGATTCCCAGTCCATGCTGATTGATACAAGCACCACTGAAAAAAACTTCATGTGCTTTGTTCTCAAACACATTACAAGCCTCCGTCATTGATTAGCACTGATGGAGCATAAATAGAGCGACGTTAAACAAAATAAAAAAAAAAAAAAAAAATTTGAAAAATTAACCAAACTTTCCACAGAAAATATGCAAGCACGATATAAAATATGTTATGATCTAAATATATTTAGAACAAATATTTTCGCACTTTGTAAACGGATAGACGTTATTAACTGACCAACGCTGGTCAGCTACCTGATGGGTATAAAAAAACCAAGCTTTTTCGCTATTCAGTGAAGTCTAGCTTCAGTTGATCGATAAATAATAAGTCTTCGGTATTGTTAGAGACTCAAGGAAAACTAGACTAACTTCCAACTCTCTTTGACAATAAGTAGATATCATACGTACACAAAAATTCAAGTAAAGACTTCGAGTTACAATTTTAATATGCTACAAGGTTTATGAATAAGAGCTTTCACATTACATAATATAAAGGTTAGGCCTCTACGGTCTCCTTGAGAATCATTGTATCTTTGTAAGTAAGTTTTGGTCAAAGAGTGTGCGACAAGTATATTTCTAAATTTTTCTACGAACTTGTTGATCGATTATTATTGAGCGACCTGTTATAGACGAATAATCTGTTAGATTCGGCTACGACTTATGCCTCTTAACTCTCTTATCCCCATCTATCTATACTTCTCATACTATTTTTACTTCTATAAAACGTACACTACAATGTACTATGATGTTCGTATCACTTATAAATAAAATAATTCGAACTCTCGTAATATAGCTAATGAGTAAGAATTTGTTTCCAATGATTTTACTCTAATTGTTAATCAAATAAATAAGTAAATCAAATGTAAGTAATTCGAATATATATAAGTAAGTGTAATATTTCGAGGTAAGTCAGACAATGCCCTAGTTTCTTATGGTGCGAATTGTCCCATAAGCAGAGCTAAAGTCTTTCTTTGATAGGATATAATTCGGCCCAAGTTGCTTATAGCGCGAGATGTTCTATAAGTCGAGCTCAAATTATAAGGAAAGGATAGTCTTGCTTAGTTAATCACACTGAGAGAAAGAACTTAGGTATTAATCCAAGTTTATTCAGACTCATGCGCTCACCTTGCAAGGCTAGAAGTGAATGCTAGCCTGTGCAAAGGTGGGCCTATTTATACACAGATTTTCCCGCTTATTTTTGCAGAAAAGATTTCATCGAAAATTCGAGAGACATTCGCGAATTTTGAGAAATAAGTTTTCTTAATTTACAAGTAAATAACCATTAATATTAAGTTTTTAACACATGTAAATTTTACAGAATTTGTTATTTATTATACAATATATAATTATCGCCAATAGTGTCGTCAAAAGTTATTAACTAATAAAGTTAATTAACGTGATATTACAATATTTACAATGGAAAATTATTATATTTTCATATAACTTTATAATTGATTAATTTTGGAAGTATTCTCCAAAATTAATTATTTAAATTAATTAATAACATTTGAATTATGACTAATTTTTCATATTTGTAACGGTTTTTTCTAATCTTAATATGCAATTATTAGATTAATTATCTAAGATTTCTAAATTATAAAGTTATTATTATCAAGTATTAACTTAATATTTTCGTTCTATATATAGCTTATTGTTTAAATAAATTATTAATTGTTTATTTATTAATAACAGTTATTATTCAGCTGTTATTAATGAAACCAATTCTTACTCATGTTCTATGCTTATTCATTTTGCATATGAATTATTTATATTTTTCTAATATTTCATATGTTAATAAATAAATCAACTTTGCATATTAATATTCATTATTATTTCATAATTGAAAGAGATTTTTGTTATAATATTATTAATCTACATGCTAAAATCTATATAATCGATACTTTGTTATATTAAAATTATCTATAATTAACATATTTTTCTTAATATCCTAAATCATTATATCTATGTCTATTACTTTGTGACGTCACGCTGTTTATTTTGATTCGACTCTTATTTGTATACAGTCGCGTAAACAGTGAGGTAGCGCCGCTTAATGTATTGTTTTGAATAAACAGATAGATACGTTAGACTAGTTGCAGTCATTCAGTGATTTAGTAAATAGCTCATAAATAGGACCGTTACAGCACATATGTAAATAAATTTTTCTTAATCCCTCCGTTGAAGGCGCTTCGATGTTGCATCCTTTTGGAATAAAAATTCGTATTTTCTTGCCTTATAAGAATTTTGTGTACATCTCTTGTTGTCGGGATCGAAAATGTAGTGGCAGTGCAGAAAACAATTCGTATATTAATTACGTTTATGTTTACATTAAATCCATCTATCATTAATCAGCTACGATGATATTGAAAGAAAAATGTCAAGCTCTCTCAATAAAGAGCCTATGATAGATACTGATGATGATTGTACTTGATGACTGAACATTCGCTTAGAAATCGCTCTGGACAATCTGGAAATGGTCAATAATGATGGTAATGTGCTTAGAAAAGTTATTACAGGTGATAAATCATGGGTTATGGTTATGATCCTGAAACTAAACAACAATCTTCACAGTGGAAGCATTCTGAATCGCCAAGACCAAAAAAAGCACGTCAAAGTCGTAGCAATGTTAAGTCAATGTTGATTGTTTCTTTTCGATTGTGAAGGTATTGTACATCACGAATATGCACCAACAGTTCAGACAATCAATAAAGAATACTACGTCCAAATTTTAAAACGTTTGCGTGATGCAGTAAGAAGAAAATGGCCGCACTTTTGGGAAAGTGGTAACTGGCTTCTCCATCACGATAATGCGCCAGCGCATTCATCCAATCTTGTGCAGCAGTTTTTGAGCAAACACAATATCGCATTGCTCTGACAATCTCCATACAGTCCCGACATAGCCTCTTGTGACTTTTGGCTGTTTCCAAAACTAAAAAAACCACTCAAAGGACACCGATTCGATGACAATACAACGGTTGAAAACAATGCGACGAGTGTACTTGAGGCTATCCTTAAAATTGAGTTCCAGGACTGTTTTGAAAAGTGGAAACATCGATGGAACCATGTTATTCAATCAAGCGGGGATTACTTTGAAGGATGCTATCCGCCAGATGATAAAGAATAACGCTAGCACGAAAATATAGAGGTAGGCCCGATACTTTCCGGACAGACTTCGTGTGTTATATACATTCAACTTATACAAGTATATTAGAACTTGGAAGAGAGAGACATAACGAGTAACGTTTGCACTCGTTATACTTCAAACCAATATCTTTGTAAAGTATGTGGTCAATGCTTAAAAAGAATTTTAAATTCAAATGAAAATATTGATCTAAATATCTACGCCAATTTAAAAAGTATTTTGAAAGTTTACGCTAAAGATTACAAGCCAACATTTATATTACCGGTGTTTGTATTAACTTGGAACCAAATAATGGAATTAATGAATATTGTACCTAATTCTACGAACTTGATTACAAAAGTTCGTATACTCATTTATTTAACTGTTATTTATAAATAAAAGTGTTTACGAATATTATTATAATTAGGTGCTTTAAATATTTAAAATCTATGATGCTTGCAGATGTGACGAATTACATAATTCAAAAAGGATGAAGGTTGATGACGATAAAAAGTCGCTAATGGTATATATAACACAAATCTGCATGGTTTTGTTGTTGGCCAAGGAAAGATCATTTTCGAAGTAATTGTTTGCGTAGAATTCGAATCTGGAGTCAGAATTTGTCCATCACGTTAGGTTTTTTAGATATCCTAACCAAAAAGGGCAAAAAAGGCATTTTTTTGGTATTTTGAGATTCTATAACAACGCGGAAATAGTACATTACGATACAAGTGCGCAAAGTAGGCGATTGCCGCACGCGCGAGGGTTACCGACCGAGCGAAGCGAGGTCGGTAACGCGCGTGCATGATCGCCTACTTTTCGCACGCGTATCGTATACTATTTTCTCGTACGAGATGCGAAAAGTTCGATTATACTTTGAATTTTTGAGATGGGTGGAAAAAGAAGGTTTTATAATTAAGGAATAAATGTGGAAAAACACGCAAAATATTTTTTTCCTCATTGACAATGTAGATGGCGAAAAATATTGGGAAAACGAAGTCCTTTCCCACTCCACGCAACTCATTTTTAAAAATGAAAATTCAAAAACTATGTTCTTGAGGTCCGACGGAAAACATTCTGCCTGTACAAATTTGGCAGTTGTCCTTTCGCGTTTATCCTTTCTAGTTCCTTTCAATTCAACAAAAATGTCTAAACAAAAGGTGCTACAGAAATAAATTTGGCAAATACAATAGATTTAAATAAACATTAAATTTAAAAACATTTAAATTACATTAAATTTTTATAA